CCAGAGCAGTGAGTCTGTGATTTACTCCGTAAAGATCTTCCTCGTGAACCTGTTCAATGGCTCACTATTGTTACATAAGCAAGAGGCAGGTTGCTCTTAGATTGAACCTTCATATATTTGAGATTTTGTTATCAGATGCTAGCTTATTTTGATAAATGAACTGTCCAACCTGAAAGTTGTATGTCTTTTGGCAACTGCAACCTTTTATTAGGGAATAATTTTTTTTGTTGCATTATGGTGTTTAAAAGATGATTTTATTTTTTATTTTTTAGGGGGGAGGGTTCTCAGTAGTCATTTCTCTGTTGAAGCCTACCCCAAACAAAATCCATCTGCATATGAAAATGTACAAATAATGATATCTCCTGTATAGTACTGTTAAACAGCCCCAAAGTTAATTTGAAGTTAGATCAGTATCATTACTGTTAATTAAGTTTATTATCCAAATGGAATAAGCTTGTCTTTGCCCCTACACAATCTGAAAATATTTATCCACTGTAGGAAATTTGAAAGACTTTTTACTATTGTTGGTGTCCACCCAGAGGTCATAAACTCTTGTCATTCATCTCTAAATATAAGCATTCCCAAATTAGATGACATTTAGTAACATGTTATAAAAGCCTCAGAAGATTCTTTCTAGTACTATTCTAGGTGACCTTATATGTCTGTTTTGTTTTTGTTTTATGTTGCTCATTTGCCCTACATATAGTCTTTGAAGATTTTGTCTTAAAAGTGTGTACCTTTATAGTGATATGGGTGTTATTTGAAGCATGTCATCCACACTGTATTTTATATTTATTTGTGAACATTTGTAATTCATTGCCAGAGATGAGTTTGTTTTTTTTTTTAATACGCCTTATTCCTTTTGAAACATAAAAAAAAAAAAAAATCAGAACTTGAAACACAGCTTCTTTTATCAGAACCTTTAGAAAGCTCTTTTACTCAATTACAAGAAACATTTTTGCCTGTTGGACATTGTATTTTTACTTTACTATTATAAATTCTAAGATATTATGACTACTACTTGTTGCATTTATTTTCCTTTATTACCACTAATCTTTTTGTCTTTTTCCAGGATTAAGTCTAATTTATGATTGTTCATTTTTGCTTCTTCTAAATTTTGAGTTACCAATTACCATTTATTCAAGTTAGTGATGTTGGCAAATCTTGTTTTTAGCTTGTTCAAACTACCACAGAATATGAAGATATTTAAAACCTCTCATTTTGTTCAAAGAACATATGATTACATATATATTTTTAGCTGTGGTAGAAAAGCAAGCATTTTGTCTGGCCAAGCAGTCAGTACATAATGATGTAGTGTAGTTCAGATCTTTCTCCTTTTGTCCTTTTTAATAACTTAGAATGCTTTATGCTTGTGAATTTTCATATTAATACTCTTCGTACAGGTTTGTGTGTGCTTATGTCCTTACCCCAAATACTGGATGAATTATTCTTCAGAGAACATTCACATGTCTGCATATTTGTCATGAATTCCATAAACTAGAAACATTTGCAAGACAGTTGGGTGGATTGACACTTGAGCTTTGGCATCAACCCTTGACTAGCTAAGAGCTCTAAATAAGTTACTAAACCTCTCTCAGACACTATGTGGGTATATATATATATATTTAATATATGAATATATATACACACACATACCCACATATATAGTGAATATATATATGTCAATAAATTATAGAAATGTGTAAAGTGTCTAGTAGGTCATATTACTTAACAAACATTAACTTTTTAAAATTTTCTACGAAGCTGTTAAAATTCCTATGGACAGAAATATGGACATCTGAACTACAGAATATTTTATTTTTTCTGTTATTATTACCCAGAATCATTAAGTAAAATCATCATTTCTCCCCACTTGCATTTCTGATTTTACCTGGGTGCACTTTTCTATCTTCCTCAGCTTAAAATACTGTTGATTAGAAACCAACTTACAGCCAACAATTTCTCCTTCTGATTTCTTTCATAAACACTCCAGTTTTTACCTAGGACAAATTGCTTTCAGAGTATTACACTCTATCTTCTCTATTTCTACCTAAATACTTTTCTGTATATTTTAACCTATTTTCTCTATATTTTTCAGTACTAAAGATGGTGTATGAGTAGTAATGAAGTGATCCGTAATCTGTTTATATAGACTTATTCAACTTCTCCTAAGATTTTTTTCTTTGCACCACAAAATTTAATGAATAAATTAAATGATAACAAACTGATGCCATTTGTTTTTTTAATAGAACTTAACACTTTTTATTACATTTCCAGCATTTTAAAAATTATTTTAAAATTTATCATTTTTTTTTGTAGAATGGACTTTAGACCTGAATAATATACTCATAAATATTGATCAGTTTTTTTTTTTTTTTTTTTTTTTGAGAAAGAGTTTCACCCTTTTTGCCCAGGCTGGAGTGCCATGCTATGATCTCGGCTCACCCCAACCTCCGCCTCCCAGGTTCAAACAACTCTCCTACCTCAGTCTCCCTAGTAGCTGGGATTACAGGTGTGCACTACTACGCCCAGATATTTTTGTATTTTTAGTAAAGACAGAGTTTCTCCATGTTGGTCAGGCTGGTCTAGAACTCTTAACCTCAGGTGATCTGCCTGCCTCAGCCTTCCAAAGTTCTGGGATTACAGGCATGAGTCACTGCACCCAGCTGTGTTGATCAGTTTTAACCATAGATGGCAGATTACTTTATTTTACTTATATTTTGTACTCTTACTCACACAATACATAACCCAGTTTCTTCCTAACTATGAAGAAATCATTCACTGAAGTCAAAGCAAGAAGAATTTATTATTGCACCCTCAGTAAAATGTATAATGCCAAGTTTTATAGTCACTGAAAATGATATCTTATGAAGAATGTATATTTAAATATAAGTAAATTATATTGTATAATTTAAAGTTCTACAATAAATTATGATTGGAAATGACCATTCTCTCCCTAAGAATCTTTATCTGCATCTACCCATTTTGAGCTAAAACAGGGAGGTAGACTCCAGCTTCATATTGGAGGCAATTTCTTTTAATAAATAATGTTTTCAAGTCAGAAAATTGGAATGTTTATGCAATATCAACACAGACTCAGAATCTATTAAGGACATAACACAGGAGACTGTTATTGATTAAGAGAAGGTTGGGTCAGAATCTCCAGAATATATTTTCACTTTAGCCTTATGGCAATTGTAGTATTCTAATCTGTATTCTAGTAGTTTTTGTACTTGTCTCATCATTTCTCCCATAGATGGCATGTCTTTACACAGAAAAAAGGTGAGGGGGTGGGAATCCAAATATCTTTAAATTATTCATGACATCTAACAGGATAACTTACTAATATTGACCATTTAATATATTTTTCTCAAATGCTTTCTCTATGTAATTAAGAATAAAGTAACTTAAAAGCAATATTTTAAAAAATTAAAAAATCTAATGAGAGTATAAAAAGATTGGAAAGTATAAGATAAAAATTGAGTAAAGAATAATAAAACCAAACATCACACACACACACACAAACACACACACACACACACACACACACACACACATATATATATATATATATATATATATATATAAAATTAAAATAAGTTAAGCATCTACTAATACTACACAGATGTAAGATTATTGGGCAGATATTAGTCCTCAAGCATACTGACCAAACCTACCAGTATATTTCAGAATAAATTAAAATGGATCCCAGTGCTTTGATAGTATTGGAAAAACTATATTTACCTGTTTGTAGTGCTTTCTGACATTAAACATTTCATAAATTTTGGGTGCCAATACATTTCTCAGTTTTTCATAGAATTATGCAGATTATTTTTTTCAAAATTTTAGATGTTTTTATGAAAGCAGAGCTGTCTACTGACCTTAAAAGTGTTTTGACCCCTAAATTACATTTATAGAATAAAATATTTTATGTGATAGAAAAATATGTCATTTTGATTAATTTCTTCTATTACTCAACTTCAGAAACATTTTTGCATGATTTTTCACAATTTTTCCTTTCTAGTACATTGTGAGTGTATGTGTTTTTTAAAGTTTTCGCCAGAAGAAATGTTTCACCTGTAATGAAGAAAATTAAAATCTCTCAATTATTTCATCTATCTTGTTTCAAAATAGTAATTAATTTTAATATTCTAAAGAATTCAGGTATTTCTAGTACTGTACTGTATACAGTTGCACAACATGGCATTTCTGTTCTGCTTAACAGTGTGCAAAGTATCTTCACATGGAGAATTTCTACAGAGACGTTTTCAAATACAGAAAATACCATCTTTGATGATAATATGGGAGTGATTATTCTGGCATTACCTGAAGAAGCAGTACTTTGGGAAAAAGGAAGTAATTGACTATGTCAGGTCAAAATATCCTGATGCTCATATCTATAAAAAATGTGATTTCTTCTCTGAATATATGACAAAGTTTGTGACAATTGTTTTCCCCTTCCTTATAAGCCCTCAGATTAAACTTTGTAATTGCTTTTTAAAATTTAATTTACATTATTAAATTATACTTCACTTATTTAAAAATAGATATATTTAAATCACTAATTTGTTTAAAAAGTCTGAAATATATTGTACATAAAATATGTACAGAAAATATGCTATTGGGAGGCACAAGTGAGAGTTTGGGAAAATGAAAGATCATTTCTCTGCCTCTGGAGGTGTCCTTGACAATAACAGCAGCTGAGTAGGGTAACTGAAGGTGACTGCAGGTGGCTGCAGACTCCAACTATCTTAGCCATAGCTGCAACAGAAGCAGCAGGGAAACAGGATCCCTGTTCAGTAGCCATGGTGTGAAATAACTGAAGCCACGACAGCCTTATATAATTTCCAGCAACTCAAGCAGGACATGTGGGCTCATGTTGGGGTATATAGCAGCTTCCAGAGTTTGATGTAACTGCCTCTTTTCCCTTGTCCGTCTTTGGTTTTTCCCTGCAGATAACTCCATTATGGCCAATGATCTTTCTACATGAAATACCAAAAATGGTGTCTCATATCGCCCTGAGCGAACATCAACTGATACATGCGCTAATAGAAGTGGCATCAGGAAATAGACCTTTCAATTGTTAGTCTGAGGATAGTTATCTGACCTGATTGTAAATATTGGTCTCAACACATTTGGAAGATGAGACACAGGTAATCCATGACATGCAAAGGCAAATGGTTATTTAAACTACTACCTGTTGCCTAGGATGAAGTTATCAGAAAGGTAAGGTTTACCTGACTGTTATGGAAGAGATGCCTGTAAGGATTTGGAATGTGTTGACTACTGACCTATACTGGAGGGTTCGCCGAAGAATAAAACCATGATGTCAGGTTGTTACACTCTCAGATTAAGGCCTGATCAGAGAACAAATTAGTTGAATAAGATAAAAATATAATCCTGCAACATAGGCAGAATTCAAAGGCTCATCTAGTGACTTCTGTGAAATACTATTTGGTAAGAACTGGGATCTTGAATATGGCAGCTTCCTGAGTTTGATGTAACTGCCTCTTTTCTCTTTTCTACCTTTGGGTTGGTTATTTCCACCTGCAGATAATACCGTTATGGCCAATTATCTTTCTACTTGAAACACCAAAAGTGCTGTCTCATATTGCCAAACTGAAGACATTAGGATAGATTTCAATAAATTTAAGAATCTTTCAAACTTCAAGCCACTTTTTGTTTGTTTATCAAGAGAAGATCCTCTACCCTTCAGAACATACTAGCTATTTATTGCCTAAAATGTGTATATTAATCTTATCCTAAGTACTTGCTTTATAAGGTTTATTCATCCTTCAGTTTCCACAACCTACTTACTCTTATTCTTCAGACCCGTAACCAGAGCAAATCTACAAATACTTTTAACAAACACAAATACTCTGAATAAATACAAAGAAAGAATTGAGAGAAAAGAGCTTATGCATTAAAGTATTTACAAACCTTTGCTAGTTTATGTGAACAGAAACCTAGATATTATTTGTGGGGATGGATCTTAAGAGTGTTAGATCAAGAAGGATAGAATAAAATCTTTGATCAAGAAAATTTGTCTCTATAGGTGCATGGAACAGTTTCTGAGTCAGTCAGTTTCTGATGCAATCAGTTTCTTATTCAAAATGTTAACTCAATCAGCCTGACTACAATACTTTTTTGAATTTTTGGCTGAAAGCTAGTCTCAACAGTGGCCTACATTCATTGGATGTGATTGTCAAAATTTCCCTGCTACATCGGAAAGGAGAAATCCAGATCTTTTTTTTTTTTTTTTCCGAGACAGAGTCTCGCTCTGTCACCAGACTGAAATGCAGTGGCACTATCTCGGCTCATTGCAACCTCCGCATCCTGGGTTCAAGCAATTCTTCTGCCTCGGCCTCCCAAGTAACTGGGACTACAAGCGTGCACTACCCCGCCCAACTAATTTTTGTATTTTTGGTAGACAGGGTTTCACCATGTTGGCCAAGCTGGTCTTGATCTCTTGACCTCGTGATCTGCTCACCTTGGCCTCCCAAAGTGCTGGGATTACAGGCATGAGCCACCACTCCCAGCACCAAAATTCAGATCTTGAGAGAGACAGCTATTTGGTGTACTTTGAGTTATGAATGGTATGTCCCATGTGCAGATTTAAAGAACACCACCTAAATGTCTCTTTAAATGTCTGGAAAATGTGCTGAAGAGAGCTTCAACATCCATACAAAGTTCTTTGATGTCTGTTCTTCATAGGCCTGGGATGATGATGGCAGTGGCTGCCACTGACCTTCAGCTTTCTTATTTCAATATGTTTAATTTTAATCCTGAGGTGGCAGATGTGGTGATCAGTGGACACAGGACCAGACTGACAATTACAATATTTTTGCCTGCTGGGATAATTACCAATTGGTAATTAACCATGGTGTTATCAGTGGGAAGTCGATTATTATATTTTTTGCTCAGATGATCAGAAAAACTGTAGGTCTGGTAAGCAGAACACCACTAAGTTACCACATTGGAAAATGAGCCGGAACTGAGCCAGTTAACATTTTAATGATTACCATATAATGGGGAGATCTTGTAATGCTGTTAAAATATGGTATTTGATCTTTATAAAATATTAAAGTGGGACTACGATTATTATAGAAAAAGAAATTACTTCATTTGGAGAAGAATATAGTAACTGATAAGACCTCATATACCTCATTTTGGAAAGATGTGTACATGTTCATTTTATGTGCAAAAATTACATATGAGACTTAAGCACAGTATTGTTGAGAAAGTTGTAGGAAAGTTTCAATATGGATAGAAGGATTTACAGAGCTATTGAGTAGCCAGAGGAAGGTTTCTACCAGGAAGTGTCTCTTGCCTCTCACCTCCATATTCACCCACATATGCTTTTTCTGTATTGTTTATTAATACAAAGTTTAGTGTGTGTGTGTGTGCGCACGCCTAATACTAGATAATTTAATGAAAATAAATTATCATAGCACCCATGCCAAAGAATGAAGTCAATAATTTATTTGGGCTCCCTATTTATCTACTGATGAAGAGAGTTTCTATATTTTACTTTTAAAATATAAGCATCATTTAAATATTCCTAAAAATTTCATGTATTATTTAATACAATAATATTCCAAACAGCATTTAAATCTTCTTGAGAGCATCTGGAAATGTTTTGATAACAGATATTTAACTGGAAAGGATTATAAGCTGTTTACCAGGTAGGCATGTGGGGAAGGAACAGAGGAGGATTTACTACAGGCAAATGCAGAGACAATCTTAACAATTAGGAACGAGGAAATCTCTGTGTTCACATTATACTTAGAATTTGCACAATTATATGACTAGTACACCTTTGTATCAGTGATCACCCATGACAAAGACTGGAGTTGATATTTTTTTCTGCTTCCCTGTTCATTTAGTGATGAACACAGTTTCTAAATTTTATTCTTAAAGGTATATTGGGTCACAGCAGTGCCACTTCTGCATCTTTGCCTTTTATGCCATTTGTGATGGGTGGTGCAGCATCATCCCCTCATGTAGACTCCAGCACCATGCTTCATCACCACCACCACCACCACCACCCCCACCATCACCACCATCACCATCCAGGCCTGAGAGCCCCTGGCTACCCCTCTTCACCAGCGACTACCGCCTCTGGTACTACCTTGCGGGTGCCATCACTGCAACCTGAGGAGGATGACGATGAGGATGAAGAAGATGATGATGATTTATCTCAGGGCTATGATAGCTCAGAAAGGGACTTCTCACTCATTGATGATCCTATGATGCCAGCCAACTCAGACTCCAGTGAAGATGCTGATGACTGAAGTCCCAGCATGGACCCCATTGCTTGGGCGGCTGCTGTATTTTCATTTACTCTGGCCCTTGGACTATGGAAACGTGGGAGGGGCAGGGGAGATGTAAGGAAGTCCAGGACTCCAGGAGGTGAAAAGGAAAAAAAAAAGTACCTGATTGCTCCCACTTATGAGAGGATTGGGTGGGCAGGGGAACTCCTAAAATAATACATGACCACTTCCTCATTTCTGGGGAAGAAAAGGAGACTAGAGCAGCTGGTGCGCTCACCCCTCCCTAGTCACCTCCATTAACCACAGACTATGTAGCGCTGGCCCTAGCCTCTGGCAGAGCCTGTTCCTGGTCGAACTGTGGATACAGCTGGAGAGTCAGGAACTGTTACCTTCCTTCCCCTTGGGATTAATAAATTTAAGTTAATCCTTAAAAAAAAAATCATTTGGATAGTCCTGAAAACTTCTTATTGATGAAACAAGACCTAAGATGACTTTTGTATACAATAGCAAACCTTTCTAATAAGCTTTGTCTCCTTTCTAATTTCAGCCTTTAAAGCCCACCATTTCTCTGCATCTGAAAATCAAAGTAATTTTTCTGTTACATTTTAATCTGACATGAATGAGCAACTTCCTGCTGTTTTAGGACAGGTCCTCGATAGTACTTTTGAAGCCTTAGGAGCTTTCAATATTATCAGGTAATTACTTAGGCATTCACAAGACTTTTACCATAAATGACAAGTTTAGAAATGTTCATTTTTGAAGTTGTCTAGAGATATAGAGACCTTTCTGACTTTCTAATTGTATGACCATAGATTATGACTCTTTTCATAATATGTAAGGCACTCTGCAGTGCTTGTTTTAAACTATACCTCAATAGTTATTACTGATGATAACCAGAAAAGGTTGACATTTATTTTTTCTTACTATTATAATCTCCACAAAAGGAGAGAGCTTTCATATATACTATTTAGACATTATTTAATGAGACTTACAAGTCAAATAAATTTAATTTCACATTATCCCTATCAGTCTTCCTACAAATAAAATACTGCATCGAGTTCACTAATATACAAATGGTGGTGGTGGTGGTGGTAGGGTCATCTGAAGCAGCCTGACTTCTCATTTGCATTTGCATATAAGCAAAAGAATTGAGTTAATCTAAAGAATTTAAATTTAGCATGTGATATTTATTTCCTCCTTTTTTGCATTCATAATCTATGTAAACATGTGAATGAAAATGCCTATGTATAATAGGAAAGAATCTTCCATTGTCAAGTGCTTATGAAACACCCAGGAGCCAATGAACACTACCTAAAGTCTGACTGAGAGTGTCCAAATGCAATTCCATTAAAGATTGCTTCAGTCATCATTCTCCCAAGCCAGGTTCAAAAGGCCAAAGTCAGGGTTTTTTTTTTAAGAATTTTTAAATGATTGCATATGCCCTTTCAAGTCAGTGAAAAACAATCACCTTTTCCACTCATTGGGTAATTGCATTCAATGTCTACGGAGGACACTAAGCACCAGTAGTTCCAACTGATACACAGTCAAGTTGTGCTGCTGTTGAATAATGTTCTTATTTTGTATGTGTCAAGGCCAAAGTAGCATGCTTAATTTAAACATCTAGCCAGGCTACAGTTTGTTTTCATTTTAAAGTAGAGTTAGCAAATTGAAGGCCTTCTCTATAATAAAACTGTTAAAATAAATCGACAGTCAATATTCATAAACTTTAACTTGATTAATCATGCTCTTAGCAATTGCACGATTGCATTATGTATTATCTTTCATTGTCCAATGAAGAAATAAGAGTAGAATATTTCCTTAAGTGAATTTCAGTTTCATATGGAATGTTGCAACATATTGGTGCTATTCAGAGATAACATATCCAAACTCACAATACATATTATTGTATATGTCATACTTAAAAACAGAATAAATATAAACATCCTCATGTTTATATAGCTCGAATTTTAGAAGGTATAAATAAATGACCTAATTGTGTCATGAAAGATCAGAAAATCTTTAATTTAAAAAATCACTAATAAAACTAATTATACCACAGGTAATAGTAAATAATTTTCAATTGTAACAGCAAGAATGCCTTAAAAGATCCAATAGTCTTAGGTGATCAGAACAACTAATTTTCAAAACTAATCATCTCATGAACAGAGTCATACTGCAGTTAATTAATAATAATTTATGATAGAGAGAAAATAAAAATATAATAATCTGAAAATGCTTCTTTCTACAGTGACACATTTATCATAACTGTTTATAAAAATTAACAATAATATATAATGCCTTGTGAATTAAGTTCCCTGTTGTAATATTATGTTATTAATTATATATGCCATTTCCTACTTTAATAAATAAAATTTATTCAACTTAGTAAATTATTACCAATACAGAAAAACTAAATGTTGTACAAAGCCTAAGTCTCTTGTATCAATATGTATATGTTCAACTTTAAGGCAATGATTCTGACAGATTAGAGGAGTAAATTCATGTAATAGAATATCATAATCCAGACAAAATCGAATCCACCTGAGGTAAAATTATGGTCTACCTATTATTACTAGAAATTTAAAGCAATATTTTTTTGAAAGTTAAATTATTTTCAGGGTGATTTTTCTATATGTATTTTTATTATAATATTTAACTAATGGGAAACAAAACCGTTTTTCACTAACAAGGCCAGATGTGCAGGCTGATTAGTTAATATTTACACTACATTAGCCTTTATATTATGGATCTTTGAAAACCAGAACATGTACAATAAGTTGATTTTCATTTATCTTTGTTATCCTTTATTTAATTATTTGTATCCTCCATTGATACATGATTGTATCTCAAAATGCTTTTACACTGATAGGAGTATATTTAAAAAGGAGAAGAAGGCTGGGCATGGTGACTCATGTCTATGATCCCAGCACTTTGGGAGGCTGAGGTGGGCAGATCACAAGGTCAGGAGTTTGAGACCAACCTAGTCAATATGGTGAAATCCCGTCTCTGCTAAAAATACAAAAATTAGCCAAGTGTGGTGGGACATGCCTGTAGTCCCAGCTACTTGGAAGGTTGAGGCAGAAGAATCGCTTGGACCCAGGAGGCAGAGGTTGCAGTGAGCCAAGATTGGGCCACTGCATTCCAGCCTGGGTGACAGAGTGAGAATTCATCTCAAAAAACAAACAACAACAACAAAAACAAAAGCAAGAGAAGAATATGAACTTCAAGTACTTGAATTAAGCAGAAACATCTAGTCTATTTATTTTGTTATGCCACCTGGGCTCCTCCCTGTTGCACAACTTAATACACTGGTGCATACAAACACAGCCACAAAGTAGCTTACTTCAGACATGCTTCTTGATTGAATGTTAAGACATTCAAAGAAAGCACCAACATTTAAAATTATATATCTGTAAGTATGTATAGAGGACTAATATATATTGTGCATATGTATAATTGTATATCATCAGTGTGTATACACTGACAATTTGCAGTATCTCAAATCATTAACATATTCTGTTGTATACAAACATATTTTAAAAAGGAAAATTTTAGGTTGATGAGAAAGATGAACTTAAATAAAAAGAATAACAAAGACTTAAAATACTAAGCCAGTGGTAGTCTACTCTGGAAACATGGGCAAGGTCAAGGTGTTCTTCCTAGCTTTTCATGGGTAGAATTTAAGCTGTGTATATGGGAAATGGAAATGAGGAATAGAATTTTTGTGCATATATCATTTTTCCTCTCAGTAGAGCCAACTAATAAATGCTAAGAAAAGATTAAGAAGTATTTGTCTTTTAAAAGGGTTTACCCTGTGTGTCTCTGTCTTCGAGAACTCTGTCACGCTAGGGAGGGGAGTTATCGGTGAATGCCTAACCCAGACTATGGCTAATTATCAGATGATTTGCATAGTTGTAATAATCTCCAAAAAGTTTAGACATGTTCTGGTCTTTGGGTTTCAATTCTCTAAGTATATCCCATTCTGCCGCATATATGCACATCTAAATATCAATTGTATAGTAATGAAGTGTAAAAAAATCTCAAACCATGTTTCTGCTGGGTCTGGTTACAGCAGTCCCATAATGAGCACCTTTGAACACTTTTATTCCACTTCACAGTGTGTAAATTCATAAACGCTTGGCCTTGTATCTTTTCTATGTTGTCAGCATTCTCATCATTTTGGGAGACAAATTGATATCTCCCTTAGAAATGACCAAATTGAGTGCCATCTGTTACAATGAAGGGCTACTTCAAGGAGAACTTTTATTGAATGTGAGTTGGAATTTTCACTGTGGCAGCAAAATTGAGAAGCATTTCTAGTGGGCCCAAGGGGTGGTGTTTTTCTTTCTAAAATCATTGTTCTCCATTTTTATAGTCTCTATACTCAAAAACTGTCATTGGCATGCAGCAGAATTTTCGTTATTTTTTTCAAATTATATAAATAGAAAGTGATTGTTAATCAAAGTATAAGAGGGTCTAACAGATATCCCTGGAAATCAAATAATATTTTAACCATCGAATAATGAAACAGAGGCATCTAGAGTAAATCTCTCTAGGAAATAATTAATAGCACTTGAGCAATCTTTTTTAAAACGCTTTTTTATTTATTTTAATGACATTGTCTTACATTTGATATCCTCTGTGTGACTAATTCTACAATAGATTATCCTTTAAAATGCAAATAATTTTTAAGTAAGCAAACAGTATAATGAGATGTACACTAGCAATCCTAATTTAATAAACATAAACTTAAAAGTTTCACTTAAACTTGTTAAACATTTAAAATAAACACTGTCTAGCACCTTTTCCTGCTACATATGGAGAGTCTTATATGTAACTTTACTTTTTAAAAGTATTTCTATCTAAAAGAGAAAGTAATATCCCTAATCAGTTTTTCTAGTAAGTATATATGAAATACTTTGAAAGAAATAAACAAGAACAGAGTCCTACAAGCATACTGTAGATCCTGCTTCTTTAAGACTTACTCTATAGGATCTTACATGAGTAGTGTTTGACTAGCTGTGACTTGTGGGTTTGATGTTATGATGCCATGTTGGACTTAGTTCCATGTATTATATGAACAATATGAAAATAAATAAAGACAATC